GAATCAGCTTGCTTTCAAAGCGCTATTTACAGCGTGCTTCTGTCTCCGCGCTGTTGTCGCCCTGTTGATGACGTCAGCGATGCAGTTTAATCGGGTGCGGCTTAGTTGAGCACGGATTTGTCGTGCCATGATAACAACAGTGCTAGAAGGGAGAGGAGTTTGCTGAAAGGAGCAGGAGAGGGATGGGAGCAAGAGGAGGACGACTGTGGGGTCTTTTAGCTTGTTTTCTTGCAGTTGTTTCATGATCCAACTAGGCAGCATAATCAGTGCTGGAAGGGAGCGGGATCTGCTCTATTTATATGGCTTCTCTCTATTAGCCTGCCCTGTGTATCAAGGCAGCAAACGCCACTCCCTTCAGCACTGATGATGTTACCTAGTAGGGTAAGAAAACCGCCAAGCTCAAAAAGCACCAATGACCCCACACTTCAAACCTACGTTACAAATATTCTCTTCTATGGGCAAACTTACACATCAGGCAGCTGCTTCGGAATCAGCTCTACAGTGAACCTTGAACTCGTCTGTGTGACCTCAAAGGGAATCTTCTCCATGGATGTAAAATGGATGTAGAAATTCACCATCACTTCGCCACGCTGATCAGGTTTCTCATTCTGATCGGACTTATCCGTACATCCGTGTGCCACCCAAGTGTACGTATTGGGATCAATCATGAAATCCTGAGTCTTGCTTGCTTCCTTGGTCAAACTGAGTTTCTGGAAATTCTGGCTGAGGTCTTCCTCCTTGTCTTGGATCTCATGTCCGCAGAGGCCCGAAAGGCGAATGCACATGTAGCAGGCGCCAAAATCCACTTCGATGGCAGAGTCTTTGAGGAACTCCTTGGTGAGTTTGATGGTTCCACAGAGCTGACCTTGTGAAGTCCGCCGCGCCTTCCAAAGGATCGGGACATCTTGCAGGACAATCGAGTTGTTTTCAGCCAACGCTCCCAAAGTTGCTTCTATGTCACAAAGAGGCAGCCACACTTTGCGATAATCAGAGGCACTCTTATAAAAGTCCTTCAGGGCTTGGGAAGCGTACCTAGAGAAGCAATCGATGGGTCGCTCGGTGTGCTCCAAGCACACTTCAAAGCCAGGAGCTACTGTCCACAGTTGCACAAACGGCACCAGGAAGCCTCGCTGGACATTGGTAGTCAGTTGGAAATTCAACACATCTCCCACTTTAAGTTCCACTGACAGTTCTTTGTAGTGTAAGCATTTACTCCTCCCCATTGACCCCACAGGTTTGGACTCCAGGGTGTAATCCTTCTCAAGGAGTTCGATTAAATTTTCATAGTCTTCATTTTTGATAGCTGCAAGGATTTTATGCCACACATCTCCATTGAAGCGAAAGATGTTTCCTCCAATCCCTGACCGCCTCGCTTCATCCTTGTTTTTGGTTGACAAGGAGTACATTCTTCTCTTCCACTTCAGCCTCATACTGTTCTGCTCCTCGATGAAATTTGGTTGGGAAACCAACTGAAGGGCTCTATAATTGATGCTGGGACTATCTGGAAAGGTCTCCTTGTTGAGGGGAAATATGAGTTTGAAATTCTTGGCTTTCCCTTCAACGTTGGCGATGAAAGCAAACTTTTTTTGAACCTGACATTTCAACTGGGTGGCCAGTTCCAAAGATCGGACTCTTCGCATGTACGTGTTGGCCTTGCCATTCTTCCGGTTGAAATCGTGGCAGAGGAATTCAATCTCTTTTTGGGAGTACTGGACGGGCTTCTTCGAAATCAGAGAGACAATGTGTCGCTGAACCACAACATCCACGTAGCGCCGAATCGGAGAGGTAGCCCAGGTATACGAGTCCACGTGCAAAGAGTAGTGGCCCAGCTTGGCCTGAGGACAGGAATTGGAACGAAGAAAATAAGAACGGTTCAGGAGCTTCCTAAATTCTAAATTGATGGGTGCAAGTTTGGGATGGATGTCGTCTGTGGTGATGAGGTCAAGCATCTTGGGAAAGTCACGGTTATTGGCCGCTGACTTGAGGTGCTCCCACGAGGAAGTCAAGAGAACAAATGGATCAATGGTCCTCACAGGGGCACCATCAGTTGGAACTCCTAGATGATGGGAGAGGTGAGTGGACAAAGGAATGACATCTCTGTATTTCTCCCTCATTCGGGAGATTTGCTGAGGATTGGGTTCCATCTGACAACGAAGAGGGGTTAAATTTCTGGTAGGGAGCCGGTTTGTGAGCAGATCTCCCACAGAACTGTTGAAGAGGATCATAAGTTCCTCAATCATTTGGTGAGAACATCGCTGACCTAAAGGTATTTCTTCATCCAGCTGGTCATAATGACAGTCTTCGTGAAGCCTGAACTTCCGGTGGACGCGGGAGAAATGATACACCATTGCAACACAATCTTCTAAGGTGTCAAAATTAGGTGAGGGTGCCTCTATTTTGTAGTAGTTTTTAATGATCCCTTCAGCTTCCTCATAGGTCATCTGCCGATCAGAACAGATTATGGACATGGCAAAGGAAATTCTTTCGATCTGGTCCGTGGCCTTATCTATTACGACAAAGAGGGAGATCGCCAAACGTTCCTGGTGAGGAAGGAGACTGCAGAGACTCTGACTGAGCTCTGGTGGGAACATATGTATGGGTTTCTCAGGAACATAATAAGTTAACCCTCGGTTCTTGGCTTCTGTATCCAAAGGACAATCTTTGGGGATCACAGAGGCCATGTCAGCAATGTGGATCCCAATCTCATATTTGTCATCCATATCTTTGACACTGATGGCATCGTCCAGGTCTTTAGCACCCTTGGGGTCAACTGTGAAAGTAAAATAAGCCCGACAGTCTTTCCTCTCTGCTCTCATCAGAGAGGGGTGACCAGAGATTAATTTGGTCACTTGTCTGATCACCGAGGCAGGATATCCATTGGACAAACTATATTCCAAATCCAGAATACGAAGCCCATCCTCTAGTGAGGAAGTCATGGGAAGGACCTCCGTAACAATTCCCAGAGGGTAGTAATAACCTTCTTCCCATTTCATGATTTGTACTACGAAAAGCCATGTCTTCCGGTTTTCTGGTGTTATTTTTTTCCAGCTCTTCAACTTGATTTTTCCTGCCTGGTCAACTCTGCGGATGGGAATAGAATCAGTATTGTCTTTCAATGGAGGGACAAAGATTTTTGTGACAGACTGGTCAATGGGGATCATGACCCGGGGATCAAACTCATCCAGTTTGCAGACAAAGGTGAGATCCTGTTTCACCTTTTCTAAGATGCCCACCACTTTCCCATGAGGGTTGCCGTCAAGAGTAGCGTTGGGTGTCAGGATCTCCACCAAGACTTTGTCTCCAGTGAAGGCCATGCCACAGTTGACTCGACCCTTGATCTGGATGGTCATCGAAGAAGCATCATCCAGAGTGAAGGCAGAAGCTTGATCGAACCGTTCTTGGAGGAATTCGCAGCGTTTGTATCGTTGGGGCTGCATCTGCAGATACTGCTGCATCATTTTCAAGGAATAGTTGGTGTACTCTTGACGTCTCCTTTCAGGGACTGAGACGTCCGATTCTACCTTCAGCAGGCCTTCTTCGGTGACCAACACCATCAACTTTTTGCTTTCATCCAAGAGTTCCTGCATTATTGGATCATCAAGGTTTAAGCTTTCCGTGTCAGAGACCCAGGAGTCTGTATCGCTATCTTCTTCCTCGGATTCAGGGTTTCCTCTGTTCCAGCTGGCCATATCAGACATCACCTGCTTTATCTCCTCCAAGGTCAATGTTTCAGGAATGACGGACTTCTTCTCAATGCACTTCTTGATGAAACTTTTCCAGATCTTGCTGCACTGGCCATGAGAACACAGAGCGACAGCATCTCCGACTACGATGACCTGTGACTGAGCCCTTGTTATAATGGTGTTCAACACCCGCGCATTGTTGAAATACTCCAGGTTAGAGGAACTGACATGGGCCAGGCTGTTGCAGTTGTGCACAGTGTTGATAATGATGACACGGAATTCTCGCCCTATAGAAAAAGACAGAAGGCGGATCTGTTTGTCAATAACATGAAATACAGGCTGTCCTCAACTTACAACTGTTCGTTTAGTGACCATTTGGTAGTGAAAAACGCGACTTATGACTGTTTTTCACTTACGGCCATTGCAGCATCCCCATGGTTACGTGATAAAAATTCAGATTCTTGCAACCGAGGTGGCATAGTGGTTAGGGTGCAGTACTGCAGGCCACTTCAGCTGACTGTTATCTGCAGTTCAGCGGTTCTAATCTCACCGGCTCAAAGGTTGACTCAGCCTT